GTCTCCTCCCGCCCGTGCGAGTTCTGGTGCCGCGGAGGGGCCCCCAGTTAGTGAGGAAGGAATTTACAGATGTTTTTAAAATCCCCATGGAAAAATCTTTTTTACGCTTTTTAAAATATATTCTGAGCAAGAAATTTTATCATTAATTTGATTAAGGAAAATTAGTGTAAAACCTGAAAACGTGTTGAGCAAGGTTGAAGCTATTAACAGAGTGCAAGAGGCAGTGGGAATGATCTGCAGGCGGGGCTCTGGACTTCTGCCTATATAAATGACCTTTATATCAAAATGTTTTCTGTTTTAATGCTCGAGAAGGTATTAAAAATTGCATCGGTGGGATTTTCAGGGAGGTGGTGGGAAAACACAAAGTAGCTGGACCTGTTTCCAACCTGAGCTTAATTCTCTTTCCTTGGAAATAAGGTATGCCGAGGAGGAAAGAAAACGACAAAGACAGACAATGTTAAGACGCTGCCTTGGCTTCAGTTTTGATCTCACGTTGACAGCTTCTCTGGCTAAGCCAGGCTTAGTAACCTGAAAGTAGTAAGGAAAAGCGGGGAGGATATAGAGAGCAGGGAGCATTGTATCACTAATGCAGGCATCAAATTTCAAGATGGACTGACAATAGTGGCTGATTATGGGCTTTTCCTGAATTTGTTTATGGTGCCTTTGTTTTGTGGGTGTTTTTTCCTCCTGGCGGGATCCAGTCAGCCTCTGTCAAGCTAAAAGGTCCCAGGCTCTGACTGGACAGTTTAGCTGACAGCATGGCGACGACTTGCTTCTACCAATCCACCAATTTGCCCCAGTCTCAGAATGAACCTTGCTTCCTTTTGGTGAGTTTGCAGAATAGAGTGCAAAAAAAGAGATGGGCAGAATCATCTGTTCTCTTGCTATTTCATGTGCTAATCAGAACTATTTCTACTCATCAGTTTTATTCCACTGATTAATCTGCTGTTTGTCTTGTTAACTAGGCAAGACCTCAGCATGCTACCCCATTTGCATTGAAAGGCATTTTTGTTTGGTATATTCTAGCCCTTTGGGTTTTTAGCTGTTCCCATCTCTTCCTAACTTTCGGTTTTTAACTTTTGCCTAAAATCAGCTAAGAAACAGTTATTTCTTCTCCCCCTCATTTTCTATGCAGTATTCCTACCTGTTTCCAATACTAAACAGTAGTCTGCTGTTTAACTTTAAATGTTAGGTTAAGAAAGCTTATCTTACCAGGGGACATGAGTAATGCCATACACATTCTGGTACGACAGTGATAAAAATAAGCGGATGCTCTCAGAATGCCATTTTGCATGACTCTTCTGCAGAGCCTGCAGCAGTCGTCCAACTGCTGACTTTTATCTGGGTCTCTAGGTCATCCCAATAACACCTACTTATCTTTTTCCTTCTCTTCAACTTGTTCTCACTCAGGTTTCTGTGTCTTTTGCTGCAACAGCATATGCTTCTCATTGCAGTATTGCCCTTTATTGGAAAGTATACAGTTTGATATTCCTGCTATGGCATAGTCCTAAAGATGCACTCCTGACCTGTTGTTTTTCCCCCATCAAATTATAAGCAAGTATCTATTACTACTTCTAAACTATTAATATTTTTATTTATGAACAGGAAGACCACATATTTAAAAGACTGATCTGCAAAGGACTTGAGTTTGTTGCTTCTAGTTCTTGAAGAACCAGATCCTCCTCGTTAGGCAAATAATAATCAGAAGACTGGATATATGTAATTTTTTTAAAAACTGCAGCATAGTGCACAACAACAACAAACATGCCTTAAGGAGCCAACTCAAGCAAAAATAAACATGTTCAGAATCTTACTGAAATCCCTTCTTTAAAAACAAACAAACAAACAAAACCCCCAAACAAAACAAAACAAACAAACAAAAAAAACCACAAATAAAAAACCCCAGCAAACGTCAAGATATTTGGAAAGACGAGATCAACATTTTGAAGATTCCCTGCACAGGACAACCTAGGTAGTATCCTTTGCTGTATAGCCTGATCACCCTCTCCACCAATAATAAAAAATGGTACATTATTTTTGATTCTTTGTGTTTGTCTATATGACTTTGCTACTTTCACTAGGGTTGGGGGGTGGGAGTGTTTTCATTTTTCAGCAAAAGCATCTTATTTAATTGAGGATTAGTTTATACACAGCTGTCAAAAGCATACAGCAATCAGACGTTATTATCACAGATGACAATCCTTAATATCTTCAGTCTGACAACATGGAGGGTATAATAAGGGAGATGGCTCCACATCATCACTCTGAATGCTCACAGCAAATAAATTGCAGATTTGTTGTTTGACGGTAATCATTGAAAATGCAGAATAATAAAGTAGATTACTTTCTATGGCTTATTTTCTTCGTTTGAGCATATGCTCTGTGTTTATTTTGAATGTTTAACTGTTTATGCAGTTTAATTGCTATAAAGCTGTTGTGAGTTAACTTGTGTTTGCCTGAAGCCATAGATGACTTCTGAGTGACTTTTACTGAAAAGTACGTATTGTAGCAGTAGTAGGAGTAGTAGAAGCCAGTCCTACCGATGAGTGCTATTTTTTGATTCAGAACAGTGAATTCTCCATCTACTACAGTAATGTAGACATTCGGTAATTTTTTTTACTGATGGATTTTTTTGTAACTTATGTTCACTTCATTGTTCATCTGGATATTCTGTCCTAAAGTTAAGTCGTTGCATCCTTAACACTCCTGAGCTGTGGCAGGAGAGTGCTGTTGGCCACTTCTTTTCACTCTGCTAAATCAGCCATACAGACACATAGTTTCTTTTGATGAGAAACTGTTGATTCGGTGACTAATGCACTGATTCCATCTTGTGTAGAGAAAATTCATCATCTTTGCTATCTATTATGAAAATGACAGTTTCTTTGAAAATGGAGCCAGTATTTATGGAATATCACTGCTTTAATTTGGTTCTAGAAGTACTATGCAAGGATTAAAATGGTACGTGTAGGCAGAGATGGAACTTTTCAATGAAGATATTTCAGGCAAAGGGTGTGGTCTGGGTTTTTTTTTTGTTGGTGGCATTTGGGGGTTTTGTTTGGGGAGGGGCAGAAACAGTATGTTATCTCTGATGAGGTGATAGTGTGTCTTGATTCCTTGCCATGGGGGTCAGGCAGTACAGAAAACTCTGTTTTTTGGTGGTTCCGGAAGCGCTACTCTCTATTCAAAGTTTGCTTTCCCACAGTGTTGATGCTGCCCATTTTAGGAATTTCAGCAAGAGTAAAATAGAAGCATATTAATGGAGTAGGTCACTCTCACATAGCTGGTATTATCAATTTGCTCAGTGATGTTAGCTGTGCAAAAAAACCCTGTAATAATTGTACTAGCAGCTGTACATGCATAAGATAACTTTTTCTATATTCAGTAAATTAGTCTTCCCTCTTGCAGCAGCTATCATCATTATATTTTTAAAATAATCAAAAAAATCTGATTATTAAAGACTGGACATCACCCATGGACTGATGCTTGCTTCCCTTTTAGCATATGCGGAGCTGATTTTTGTTTGTAGAAGGCTCAGAATTTGAGCTTGGGGAATGTGGAGAGACATTTTCAAAATTATCTTATACTGAGAAACATACAGTGTTTCTGACTATGGCAAAATATACCTCATGACGACGTATTCAAAACAGAATGAAGGGTCAATCTCTGTTATTTCTGTGAGAAAATAATACAAATTTCTTTCAGGCTGGACCATTGACCAAAGTGACGATTTGTAAGGACAAAGAAGGAAAACCTAAGTCTTTTGGATTTGTCTGCTTTAAGCACAAAGAATCAGTGCCTTATGCAATAGCTTTGCTGAATGGAATCCGTTTGTATGGAAGACCAATTAAAGTGCAGTATCGGTTTGGTACGTTCAGTAGTCTCAATGCTTAGCTTAAGTCTTTGTAATTTTTTTTTAATGACTCTTTTTGAGTCCTACAGTCTTTTACAAAAGTGATGATTTATAGTTGGAACAAATTACAGTCCTTTTTTTTATGAAACAAAAACTTCCTGTGGCTTTTGCATAGGGAAGGATTTAGTCTTTGTATTTTTTATTTACTAAGAGAATAAAATAGGTTGGTTCAGAACAGCATAACTTGCAAGCCAGCTCTGACCACACTGTATGGAAAACATAGCAACACAGGTTTTCACTCCAGATTACATTTAGGAATCAGGGTGTGACTTTAACTTGCAGTCTGGAAGGAAAAGTTGATTTAGTAAGTGCAGCAGCTATCAAGCTGTTTGATAGTTTTTATACTAAAGCCACAGAGTTATCAGAGCTGTTGTTTTAAGCGGAAGGGATTGTAGTTCAAAGAATATAGTCACATCAGTCACATTCTTCGTTTTATGTTTATGAAAATAAACCTTCTAGAAAGCTAATGATCAGGCAGCATTTGCAACCCAAACATTAAGGACTCGTATTCCCACAATGCACTGTGCCACTCCTTACTTCAAAGGCTGTACCTCTGTACAGCTGCTGGGTTTAAGTAGAATGGCTGAGGTTCCTAAAATCGGAAGCATCTTGCATGACTGTAATTGAATGGGAGTTATTCTGTTCTTGATTACTTCAACAGCCCTGATTTATGCTTCTGTAAGTGAATAAATGACAAATGGATGTTTTCAAGCAGTAAAATGATGCTGTAGGTTATCTGCCATAAAATGGCACCTTACCTTTATATACTACCTTAGCTATACTAGCACACTACAGATGACACAGAACACTTTCTGTGTTTTTTAACTTGTTAATTTAATAGTCATAACTGAACAGTCATTATGCTCTTGTCTTATTTACAGGAAGTTCTCACTCATCAGAACTAAACAGCCCTACACATGGTTTCGAGAACTATATTGACTTATATTCATCTTCATATAGGTAACAAAGATCATCTATGAATGAACTGTATGATTATCATTTAAAAAAAAAATCTTACTAAGAAAATTAGTTGATGTGGTAGAGTAATCTTTAGGCTTTTCATTAAAACAGCTGTTGTATGCTTTAATTGCATCCTTACTGATGACTTGCAATGGGCTGTAGTTAATTTTAATGTTTGGTTGTTTAGCTTGCCAGAGGTTCAGTTAGCTTGAATTTCCCATTCTTTATTTGTTTCTGCAAGATACAGGACCATGAGAAAATACTGAAATATGGTGTTTGTACTAACAATGTTTGCAGTTGTTAGGGGGAAAAAAATCTGACGATAGAGATAAGCTTTTTAAGCACCACTGAGTTTATATCTATATTTTTTATGTGTATATGTACAAGCAGTTGTCATGCATATATGAATGCACAGGTATAAACCTGTTCTAATGGAAGTCTGACCACCCCAGATTCAATATTTTTCAATGTTTCAACATTGTTATTTACAAATGTGACAGAACTCTCTGTGGAAGCTAAACTCCCATGGTGAAATCCAGAACTCTTTTGCATCTGCACTTAAGTACATGTGAGGATTACTCATTAATTGAACCTTTGGATGTATTTTCCTTGTTCTATCATTTTCTTTTTTCATGGAAGTCCAGTTGTTAATTCTCGTTATAGCCCAAGAGTTAAGTCTCACTCTGGTAAGCAGTATGCGGTGGACATCTAGGCTTTGTATGTTTGCTTGTTTTTCCTAGGTATCATCAAGAGCCTTATGGAAATCCTCCATTTCCTGTTACTCCTTTTCCAATGACTAACAGTTTACCTCATGAATACTCAGGCTTTCAAAAGATGGTGAGTTTCTGTTAAAAGTTAAAAATTTGTGAGTTTTTTTATGAAGTTGGATGTATTCTGCATTTCTGCAAACAGCGGTGCTTATTTAATGCCTCAAAATGTGGTCTAGACTGCTGACTTTGACAGTATTAGGTCTATTTATTTTAGCATTTAAGGGTACGATAATAACAGGGGATCTACCAAACCAAACTATTTTCTTACTGCCGGAATGAATTAAAGGTATATAGCTTAGGGAGGCTAAAAATGTCAAAGTCTACAGACAGAGCTCTCTCCTGTACTGTGTTTCAAATCAAATCCCCTCGGTGAGACAAGCTAACCTAGTAATATCACAACCATGCAAGCAATAGCTTCTTCATATACAGCTAATTCAGTCCGGGAACCTCTTGGCTCTTCTACTCAATTCAGAAATGCCCAGCAGAAGTTTGAAATGTCCTAAAACCAAACCTGAAACTCACATTCATGATTTACTTTCATAGCAGTAGACAGTGTGAACCCATATTCCACCTCTCCTCTAACAGACTCTGGCGCACCGGGCCATTCTTGTCCTAATCTCTTTTGTCTGAGATATTCCACAAGGCAAGGGAACTCATCTCTTCAGATGGCAACCTGTGGGCCAAACTCTACTCACCAAACACATCACGGAGCTTCCGAATCTGATGAGTATGGATCGGTAGGACTGGAGAAGCCCAGCATTTAATGTGAGGTACCAACTGTGGACAGCACTGCTGCCACCCAGTCTGACTGGGGATTGGCCAGCCCTTTGTCACTGTCGAAGGGGTGAAGTCTGGATAGATCTCTGTAGCTAGTGGCAGTCTGGGCAGGAAAATGGAGAGGGTCTGTTCCCTGTTGCACTGGTGGCCTGCCTCCCCTCTTCCCAGGCTGTGCCCTCTGCAGAGCTGGTCCCCTCTTCCCAGGCTGTGCCCCCGGAAGAGCTGGTGCTTGTACAAACTTTTCCATCCCCTCCACTGTGGTTGGAAGGCTTGGGAGTGTACCATCTCCCCCGCTGTGCTTGCTCATAAACCCACTCCTTAGTAACAATGCAGTACGTAAACACCGGGAGACCAAAGTCGGCAGACCAGCACATGCAACCAACTTCATACCATTTTCTGCTTGCTAGAAGGGATGATATTGCAGTAAGTCTCCAGTGATAGCTTGTTGCAGCTTCAGCAGGGAGCGATCTCGTCACATGTAGGCCTTCACACATCCCCCTCACCTTTATTTGGGTGAGCCAGGCAGGTTACTCACTTGAAGTTGCCTGCACATATAACGTACTCAGACGTGCTCCCCATCATTTTTCTGGTTATTGCCAGTCAGTAGAAAGCTGCTCTTTTCTAAGCTTTGTCATTCTATTTCTGTATTAGGGCTGTGCATTTTGTATGAGAGGGACTCTTGGGATACTTTAGGGACTGTAGCAATAAGCTGGGCGCTTACTGCATTGTTCCAAGTGCTTTGATCTATGGATTCACTGTACCTTGTTGGAACGCCTTGTTCCACATTACATTTAAAATTAGTTAAACCAGGTTAAAAAAAAATGCAGATGTGCATGTCTTTTTACATTAACAATAGGCACTGCAGTTACAAATGTTTATGAAATACATAAATGAAGAAATGAAAGGAATGCCATGTTTGATTACCTTACACAAGGACTTACACAAGGCAGTTTAATCTTAAATCAGATTATTTCTCTGTTCTAACTTTGCCATGAAAAAATTATCTACTTTTTCCAACTATACTAGTTGATATAATAAAATATATAAGCTTTTTTCTCAAATGTTCTGTTATTTTATAATTTATCAGCATTTTCCTTGTATAAGCCGTAACACATGCAAAACTAAACTCTTCAGAACTTCCTCTTTACAGTGTTAACAACTCAAGTTTCTGTTTCTCTAGATGAACCATTTTTTAGCACAGCAGTACACAGTACAGAGTCCAACGGGTCAACAATTTTCTTACTATCAGATGACTCCGCTACTGCCTTCAAATTTATCCTTTTCTCCCTATCAGAATCAAGCTGCAAACTTTAAGTCTGCACAGAGTTCTTTTGAATTGGCCCTGCCACGTTCAGGTGACTGTGAAGTGCACCAGGTGGATGACAGCACCTCTAAAAGAAAGAGAGAACAGCAAAGTTGTGACAGTGACACTAGTATTGAGGATGACAAAATGAGACAAAGAAAGCGTGACCAAAAATACAAGAAGTGCAAAGCCAAGAAAAAGATGCATTAATGCTGTGTAACTGGAGCCATCTTTTTTTTTATTATAGTTGCTATTTTTATTTGAGAGAAATTTAATCTTTGCACTTGATTAAGAAAGGAATGTTCAAGATTCATATTATTTTTGAAATGTGTTATGCATAAAGTATACTGATATTTTATTTCATCTCAACCTATTTAAAGAGGAAAGTACTATTTAAGTTATAGGAAACATTTAAGAAGATAAAGTTTTCCTAATAAAGGAATAAAACTAGTTCATCCCCCCCCCCCCCAAGAATCATGGGAGGCTACTATTTCACTGATAAAGAAATTTTATGAAAATACATCATTTCAGCCATTCATGAAGCATATGTATCACTTTCATCACTCATGGAATGTACTTTTGTGAATGGCGTTAAGAATTTTCTGGAGCCATTGAAGAAGTGAGCGGGCTAGAAATTCTAAGCGTCACATCAGGGGTGTGCTCGTCACTGAAGTATCAACACCTAAAACTTTTTCTCTTTTCTAATTTAGCTCTGTTGTTACTTTCAGTTAGGATCACCTTGTATGGTTATTGGAACTGTTTTTTTCCAGTAGTAAACTTGAGGTAAAATATGGGCATTTGCACTAACTACAAGACTTACACATGTATCAATGCTCAAATGAATATATGTACTTTATGGCTGCAGTTATGTATTGACTAGAACTATATGCATATATATGTTACTCTCATGTTTTATTTGCTTATTTGAGAATCTAAATGTTCGTTGTAACAAATGGATGAAAAATTTAATGAGTATCTCATCTAAGCGATAGCACAAAAGGATGAGTCAGTGGAGTTAGTACTACCTCTTCAGAAGAAAAGTTTTCCCTTGTTTAGCAGAGAAAGAATAAACTATCTCATATCATGATGAATCAAAGTAGTCAAATGACCTATTTTCTATCTTTCACAACTGCCAACAACAACCTATAGACAGATACAGACTTACTGTCTTATACAATACCAAGTACAGGTGAAACACTTTTAAGATCCTATTATATGAGAAAGCAAAACACTTAATTTTCAGCTATTTAATATTGCTTAAAGTCATCTGTTCAGACTAGATGTAGGCTTCAAATCGCACAGTAAAAAAGGATTTTGGTTTTATTACACTCAGTTTTCTTGATTATAATGTTGGGTTGCTTGAAAGGAATACTTTTCATCCTTAGTATTGAGAAAGAATATCTCAGGTTTACTGGTTTAAAGGTGATGTGTTTTACAAGCCCAAATGAGTTTCAAAAATGGAAGAACGATTGCAACGATTTCTCTTTTGGCTGATAAGATAAATCACAGCTAATAAAATCACTTTCTCAAGACACTGCTTTTAACTTCCCAAAGGGATTACTTCGTTAGCCTAAGAGACAGTCTTACAACGCCACAGTATGGCACCCTTGAAATGTCATTAGCAACTGAATTCAATTGTCTCTAGAAAGAACTTACGTAATAAAGGTTTGTGCCTTAAATAAGATTTATGCCTTATGTTTTAAGAAGCTTGCTAAGTCTGTCCAGTCCCTTTCCCTTTTTCCCTCTACCCTTTCACACAAACATTTTCCCCTTTATCTTTTTGGTTTGTTTGTTTTTTCCCCCACCAGTAACTTTAGGACTAAACTATGTAGATGTAATCTAACTTCTGTTGGAAGATACTGCTGATGTTATACCAGTAAGTCACTGATCACAAAAGTTGCCACAGTCAGGCCTATGCTAATGTGTTCTTATCAGACTTCCCCAATGGACAGATAAGATAATCTGTTCTATGCAATTATACTATACAAAAGGAATGTCAAGGAGGGTCATATTGCATATGGCTGATAAAATATCAATACAGTTCTTCTAAAGAAATAATTTTTCTTACCCTCTTTCTTCCCAGTCTTTTTTTTCTGGAGGGAGGTACAGATTTTAACACCTCTCAATATCTGCTTACCTAAAAATTGTCAGTGTGTTAAAAGAAGAAAAGCTGGGCACTTGGGAATGTGCTGAAATTACTTGAGCCATTAACTAAATTTCTTCTGTACATCTGTTAACTTAAGACATCACTTTGGTCAGGGCCCCACTGATATTTTAATTACGTTGTTACCATATTTAGGAAATAAAACACTGGAAACAAAAAGAACACTTGAGTTTGGCCTTGACCAAATATTTCTTCAACTCCTATCTGTTTCAGTCACTTTTTAAAATTCTTTATGAATATGAAATGAATGTTTTCTATGTTAGTTCTGATTCTAAATTATTGTTATTTTGTCCTGGTCTTTCACTTCCCATGCTACTGGCTGGCCACAAGACCTTGTTTTCCCTGCTGTCACATAGGTCTTGCATTTAGACTTGTTCTCTGTATTTTGTTATATGGAATGCAGTGCATAGTTATTTCCCTTACAGTCTCCCAAACTTCGGACAAATCAGTATTGCTACAGTCAGTGATGCATTCTCATTTAAGGTGGCAATGTGCCAGGTCAACAAGAGTCAAAGGGGAGGTGCTATATTAACTATAAAGTAAAATCAAGATACTGATTTTTATTAACTTTTGGAAAAACTTTATGTTCAGGAAAAAAACACAGCAATGGAAATTGCTATTATAGCTTCCTTCCTACCTACCTTTACATTTAAATACTAGTGAGCAAGCTGTATGAAGCCTCCAAAAAGCAAAACTAAAAAGTATTGAGAAGTAACAAAGGTCAAAACTTGCTTATCTGGTATGCAATCTGCAGGAGCTCCCAGTGTTGCAGCAGCCCGGTTCCAGAGACAGGCTGGGATTTCTGCTGCCAGTCCCAGGTGGAGTAGGTCTGTCGACAATGAGCATGTGCTTTCTCAGTTTTATCCAAAAGATTTTTAAGTCGGCTCTGCTCAGCAGCAACAGCACTGCTGTGCTCTGATTTCAGCGGGAGACACAGCTGGTGTCACAAAGCAGCTCGCTCTGTGGGCCCAACTCTAATGAGACGAAAGTCCTGTTGTCGTTTGCCATTTTCTGATGCACTAATAGACTTCTGGTAGCACACATCCAGCTAAGAGCTAGTAAAAAACAACAAACAAAAAAGGTATTTTATACGTTTAGTCACAGGATAGGACGCACACACACCACTACGCGCCGTTCCCTCTCCTGCCCTCTCGGTTTTACTTGAATGCTGCCCACTAGTACAACACACATCGGGCCTGTCATTAAACGCCACCACCGAGACGCAAATCACAGGCAGACCGCGCAGGTCGCGTTTTAGGCCACAAAGTGCATTTCATCACAAGCTCTGCGGCCGGGGCCGTATCGCGCCCTACGGCCCGGCCGGGCTGACAGAGCGACCCGGGGCCTCCTCTCGGGCCCGGCGGGGCTGGGGAAGGGGACGGGCCTCCCTGGATCCCAGCTGCGGGGAAGCCTGAGGCTGAAGCTGAGGCAGCGCCTCCCTCCCCGCGCCTCCTCCTCCTCCTCGGACGGCCGCCTCCAACGCCTCTCCCCTCGCGCGCGGGGCGGCCGTTAACGGTCTCCACCGGCTGGCCGGCGCGG